CCATTCAAATTGGTGTTGCTGAAAAAGACCCAGTTGACTTGAAATCCATCGTGTATTTCATCATCTTTGGAAAGCAGTTTATGATCAAAAAGAATCCTTAGCAGTTGAACAAGTTTCTGTTCAACCAAGGATCTTGGATGAAGACATGTTGATTTATCTTACTGTTAGTTTGTAAGGTTCCAGTTTGTGAAGAATGACTCCATTTGGGCAGCAGAACTTAGGAATTAGTGGATGCTTTCAAGAAAGTTGGCAGTAGTTTCATTTTTACCCTCAAGGGAATGTTTTACATTCTTTGAAAAAGCAATAACCATCAATATCATTCACGATGGTGTAGGATACTTGGAGTGTTATGTAAGAATTTCTCAATCTAAAAAATCATTATTTATAAACGTTCATAATTATATTTGTTGATTATGATACTTAGTGAAACTAATTTTTTCTAGGTTGAAGATTACAAATTTAGTTGGGTTTGTCCCGAAGAGAATCATTACCTAATATTTAGAGTGTATAATGAAGGCAGTTTTTATTGCTACTAATTTATTATTTATACTAATTTATTTATTGCAGCTTAATATTATTTATAATGTGAAAGAGTCTGGATCTTCTAGAGTCTGAAAATCAATCCAAGATCAAGAAGCCTTTGATTTAGATGTTGCTATAAAAGATAATGAAGATGATATCAATCACTTGGATTTGAATGTGTGCACAAGGTTGGTATCTAAGTCCCTCCTCTTCCTCTTTCTCCTTAAAAAAATAGCTTTGAAGATTTGATTAAATATATGTTCTTATTTATAATGTAATTACATATATATAGTTGTCTAATTATATCAATATAAGGAGTTACATTTAAGAAAGATTTCAGTTATGCGTTTCATTTCAGATTACAGACTAGAAGTACTGCTAATTATATTTAAGCATTTATTTCTCAACATGTCCAGATTATTTACAGGTTTTCCTTGTATTTATAACAAGTTTGAATAGAGAAGTTTAATAAAACTCAAGTTTATAAAAGCTTTATATTCACAAATCATGTTTAATACTCCAAAGTTGGTTATTTCTTTCTGTTGGTCATTTTCCTGTTAAATAATTATATCAGGTTCATATTTAACCTTAATAAAAGCATGCAAATTCAGTGAAGAGAATAGTTTTTTTAGATACAGTGAAAATATTCCAGTTTAAAAGGTCCTCTTGTTGGGAAATTAGGCTCTTCCACCTTCTGGGAGTACTTGCTGAGGTGACTTAAATTTGGTCTGTGTCCCGAGCATCTGAGGATCTTATTAAGTCATAAGGAAAAGGCATCCACCTCAAGGCTGCTGACTTCACAGATTCAGGGTCTTGCTCATTCTACTGCACACCCAAGTTTGAGAGCAACCCCTTCAGAAAGTTCTCGAATCAAGAGGCTTTACAGTTTCTTCCTCATCAGTCTATCCTCTTACCTCTGCATGATTTGGTGTTAAGCTGGGTGTTCCTGCAAGATGCGCTAACACTGAGGAGCTGTTGCCTGCCCCTGTTAAGTGTCCCATAGTGTCTGGTTGAACTTGGGCTGTCAATGGGCTAGAAATCATGGCTGTGGGCCTGAGCTGCCAGA